CAAGGAAACAGGATATACTTTTTTTTTTATCCCTTGGAACTATTCTTGAAGTCTTTTAACAATATATTATATTTTGTCTTTTATAATTTCCAGACAGACATGGAAACTTGAACGACATCATAGGATTTTCTTTCTTTTTTAAATGAAGCGTTTTTCAAGGGAAATAACGATTATTTCTTTTGGGATCGAGCAGTCTAACGCGGTAGTCTCTCTCTTCATATTGTTGTCTCCCTTCGTCTTTGGTCGTTAATGAGTGTTAAAATTTAGTTGGTTTACCGAGTTACATGTCATTTTATCAACTTTAATCTGTCATCGTGGTTGAACCGCGACCCTTACAAAATACGGAAGAGCAAAATAAAAGCGTTTTATGTGAACGCATCTCATTTTGTTTAAATTATGAGCATTTTCATATGATATGCTTGTGTATATGAGTTAGACGTTGAAAGATATTGTCATGAATGCATTGCTGAGTCTGTGAGAACTCTATTCTTTTGTCTATTAAGCCACAAACAAAGCAGGTCTACGGTGCGATGCGGACAATTTGATGGAAAAAAAAATACTTGGAAAAACAAATGAACACTATAAACGGAATCAAAAGATATTGTTAAACACCATTTTATTTTTTAAAACTTTTAAAGTAAGTAGCATACATACATTATGTCTCTCAGCAAACGAAAGGCAACGTTGTGGTAAATTTTGAACTTCACTATAATTTCTTCAAATTCTTCTATTTCACCGGAGAAATGATATTCTCCTCTGCATAAGTATTGGTCATCGTCAGACATTGATGGGCGAGCTATTTTTGCTATCACTATAATAATAATAATAATAATAGTAATAATAATAATAATTATTATTATTATTATTATCAATATTACAATGCAGTATCCTGGAATTATAGATTTCTATCTGACATTTTCGTCCGTTTTGAGTTCCTTAGACCATGAGGTTAGAAACCAAATGTTCTATGCTCTAACACAATCGTAAGATTATTCGGCATCGTTTTCAAGAAATTCAAAGAACTGCATTCGAAAAAGCTTAAGATGTCGAGAAACTCAAAACTTTTAACGTCAAATTTCTTAAAACTAAGTTTTGAAATAGAAGAATTTGAAGAAATTTTAATTATAGTGAAGTTCAAAATTTACCACAACGTTGCCTTTCGTCTGCTGTCAGACATAATGTATGTATGCTACCTATGATTTTTAAAATCATTCTTCCTTTTTTGTGGTAATCGTTTTACAGCGCTCCCAATAAGTGTATAATTAGGTAATGAGCAGATAGAGGCTAAAACAGCACCTGGACATGAATGGCTGGTGCCTCTATAAATAAATCATTGATTTTCTGTGAGCAGACAGAACGTTGTAATTGTAACGTAACGTAATGTGTCCAACAACAGAAAGGTGTGGTCATCCACGAAGTAGGTCATGCCATCGGCCTGCACCATGAGCAGACGAGACCGGACCGAGACCAGCACGTGAGGATCATCAGACAAAACATCCCGCCCAGAGTCTACTACAACTTTGAGAAGTATTCCTGGACCGTCATCAAAAACATGGGCATTCCTTATGACTATTCCAGTATCATGCATTATGGGAAGAAGGTAAGTTTGCTTACTGGTTCTGTCTCTGCCCTTATGTCTGTCTCTTTCTTTCTTTTCATTTATTTCTCCATAAGTCCCCACCCCTCTCTGTCTCTCTGTCTGTCTGTCTGTCTGTTTGTCTGTCTGTCTGTCTGTCTGTCTGTCTGTCTGTCTGTCAGTCTGTCTGTCTGTTTGTCTGTCTTTCTCTCTCTTCCCCTAACCTAAATAGCCGTTGCTTACCTTTACTTAAACCCCAAAAGGGGGGAAAGAACGAAACACCAAATCTT